TTTTTTTTTGGGTCCGCGTTCGGCCCGAACGGCCGAACGCATCCCCAAGGGGTCCCATACGTTCGGGCGTTCGCCCCGTCCTGAACGCCAGTTACCCTGAATAAAAATAATTATTAATTAATAAAATTTCTCGATTGCAAGTTCGGTAGGTCTCCTATGTTTCCCCACAACAGGTAATTCAAAAAAAAATCGAATTTCAGACTGCAAAGAAAAATAATAACGAATGGAGATGATCAAAATAACTGAACTGCGAAAATAATAAAAAAATTCCGCAAGTTCGGAGAATTCCGAAACATAAAGAATTCGGAATTCCTCAAGTGAGAGTACGCGCAGGTTTGAAAACAACTGACTGCGGAGAAATTTTTCCGTAAAAAATAATTTTCGAATCTGGGAATAACGGTCAAATTTCAAAATTTCCGTTACCCTCGGAATGCGTTACAAATAAAAGAATGTAAAAATTTCGAAAATAAGTTCGAATAATGAATTTCAGAAAAAAATTCGGAATTTCAAATTAACGGGAATTGCGAAGGAAAAGATGACTCGAAAAAAAAAAAAAAAACGTAATATTTTCGGACTTCCTGCACCGGAATTTCGAATTTCAAAAGAACAAGAAAAACGAAAATTCCAGATGCTATGCTATTGCGATTTTCAAAAAGAAAAATAGCGGGAAGATGAACTCCAGAAAAAAAATCGATTTCGACAGTTAGGTCAAAAATCTGCGATTTTGGGGACTAATTAATGTGTCCTAATCAATCAATCAATCAATCAATCAATGATTAATCAATCAATCAATCAATCAATCAATCAATCAATCAATGATCAATCAATCAATCAATCGATCTTCGATTGTTCCCGCGCTTGTGTCAGATCAGGTTGTCTTGATTCACAAGCGGGGCTCCGATACCAAATTGACACATGCCCAATGGGACAATGCGTAGGGAGCCAAGGATCCGCAATGTGATGAAAAGGACTGAAATGGACAATGCAAGGTCAGCGTAGCATCAACAAGCAATGTACATTCCAAATACATACAAGATGGCACAAAGTGGCGCAGTGGAAGACTTAAAAGAGAAGATCTGATATGATCTGGACTGACCCGACATCCATCATACATCACACATGTGAGAAGGGAGGAGGGACCACAATCCCCGAAGAAAGGTCCCTCCTTCGTACAGACATGGGGAGATACCACGGATGAGAGATGGGGGAAAGGGACAAGACGAAGGAGAAGGCGGCGAGGGAGTAGACCAAGATCGCAATACTGAAGTCCCAAAAGTAGTCCCTTGCCGAGTATCCAATCAATGTCTGTCCCAGAATGTCGAATCAGATCCTGGGCAATGTGCCCAACATAACCTCTGCCTGTATTCCCTACCGATGATCTCTCTCACTCTCATAGATGAAGAAGAAGGTAAGAAAGAGGAAGAAGAAGGAGAAAGGAGGGAGAGAGATGGAGGAGGAAGAAGAAGAAGATGACGTCCTCCTTGCTATCTCACCTGCAGGTAGCTGTCACCGTACTGAATGTGGTCGTCGTCGTGTGTAGGTACCGCGCAGAGCCCAGCTACGTCACTTGCAAGTAAGGCCTCCGCCCCTCTCTACCACTACTCCGCTACTCCCTACTTCGTAGCTTGGCGCAGAATAACGCTGCTTCGACCAGCAGCGTGTCGCTCCAGAAGTGAGCTACTCGAACTGTCTCTGCCCAGCCGCTGCCCAACTATTTGTAGTGTTGGGCGGCTGGGCCTACCTGATGCTGGCCTCAGAAAACGGCCCAGCTGGTCTGGGTCCCTACCGGACGTCCAGACCGTGCTGCTGATGCAGCAAGGCGCAAAAATGCGCCTCGCCTAAAAACGGCCCGGTACCTGTGCACCTAGCCCAAGGCGTCGCCTTGGGACCTGCAGGACCGAAACGACGCCTGTTTGGCGCCAAAATGCGCCTGGCCTCGTTTCGGGCCTGCCTCCGGTGTACCCAGTCCCAAGGTTCGGCCTTGGGGCTGCAAGTCCGAAACGGGACCTGACAGACAAGGTAAGACAACATACACACACTGAAATGTAAGTAAACTAAACCTATTCTAACTAGTGTGCTACCTAGGGCCTGAAGGGCCGCCATGGGCCTCCAGGGCGCGTGCTGTATGGTACGCGGCCTGGGGGCCCTCAGCAACCATCGGGCCCCTCAAACGGGGCCCGTGTGCAGGCGCAGCATGCAACACGCAGCGTGAGGCTGACACATCACGCAGCGACCACGGACGAATGAGAAAGCAGCATTGTCATCGCACAATCTCCGCGAGCCAATGAGAATGTGGCCAACCCTTGGAGCCTGAGAGGCTACCTATACGTGCCCAACCGAAAGGGCCCAGGCCCTTAACTATAGAGGTGGGCCTGGGCGCAGAGACTGGGGCCAGACTGGAAGCTACTAGAAACTTCCCCAGCTAGGCCCAGGCAGACACACACAAGGGCTGCACTTTCCATAAAGGAAAGAGGCCAGGCCAGGGGGGGACATTCTGACCTAGGCAGGCAATGCGGACGCACTCTGCGTTGCTGTGCAAGTGTCTGCATGGGCGCTGCTGGTCGGACGCGCTAACGAGCGCTGCAAGGGCAGTGGGCACACAACATCCATAGCCGGGCTGCAGAGGCGCAAGGCAGGTGATGGCGAAGGTGGTCTTCAGGTAGGAGGCGCATGCTGTTGGGAGGCAAGGGGTGATGACGAGAGGAGAGAGAACATACCTAGTGTATACTAGTGATTGGCATTGGTGTTGTCGTCATGTACATTGGTCTTCGGCTTCAGAGCGATCCAGTTGTGAGAACATAGATAGGTTAGATAGGCTGAGTAGGATAGGCTGGGCGCCAAAAAGTAAGTGCGACATTGGATACAGTGTTGGTGTGACCGGAGAGTGGCGACATTGACATTCGAGTCCATTGTACTGCTCTTATTTGGACAGTATCTTGGTGCATTGCACCCTCTCCTTGGTTCATGACTATCTGAGCTACTTCGTGATTTTGCAACTTGGATTTCTGTCTATCGCTCTCGCTCATATTCCTTGTACACTTCTTTCTCTAGTGTGGTCCTATGGAGCATCCTATCGTATAACCACAACCTTGTCCTATGTCCCGTTAAAATCTTGAACAATACAGAGAAGATCAGTGGTCCAAATTCCGGGGGCGGGTGGAAAGGGGGGGAGAAAAAAATATATGGTCCAAATTGGCAAATTGTAATGAACCCAGTGTGTAAGATACTCGCCAGATGTCGAAAAACAAAGTAACTCGACTCTTAATAATGTCTCCAATAAGCAGGAATGTGATCTCTGATACAATGTCTCGTTTCCAGTAGACAGAGAGAGTGGAGGGGGAATAGACAAATTAGAAGGTGGAAGAGATAGTAACCATCAATGACCACAAAGAGAGTAGCCCAACAGTTCCCACTCCTTCTCCCGGCTTCCCCTCTCCTCCACGTCAGCAAAACAGTATCCAGTAACGAGCCTGACAGGCCCTGATCACATCGAAGTGCCACGTGGCACAGTTCTCTTGTGAAGACGTTGGAGACAGTCAGCAACACACAGTATCGACATCAACTGCAGGTAAGTATCCCGTTCCCTCTCAATCATTCACAAATCCCGATCTCCCTCCTTGACGCGTCCAACTCAGCAATGTCGACAATTCGGCAAATGCCACGTCAGCAATGAAGAGAGAGTGGCATGCACCACATCAGCAATGTTGAAGGCAGCGTGGCCCTGCGCCACGTCAGCATAGGCTAGCGCCAAAGCAGAAAGGCAGCAGCGTGCAGCAGCGGTCTCGCGTCGTCGTCCACAGTGTCGGTGTACAGCCAGCGTCAAGCCAGCATCCAGCCAGCGTCCAGCCAGCGTTAAGCCAGCGTCCAGCTAGCGTCAAGCCAGCATCAAGGCAGCATAGCAAGACTAAATGTCGACTCCCTGGAGACCAGGCCTTATGTAATGTTTGACGAGGCTGTCCGGCCTCAGGTCTCCCACCCACGGTGGCTTAGATTGACTGACAGTCGAAGGCCTGGATCGCATACAGTTGCAGACTTCCACTTGGTCTGAATGTTGTCTTGGTACCTGCATACAAACAAGTGTGTGTCTGACTGGCGGCCTGAGCTGGGTGCATGCAGACTTTGACTCTTGGGCCGCTGGGCAGTTGACCGTAGTCAACTGTCGGGCGCACAGGCCCTGAACCAATTTGGGGT